AAAGCACACAGACACTTTAAAACAAATTAATGAATACACAGCTATTACTTAAATTATAGAGAGTTTTAACAAACAGAAGGCACAGAAAATAATAAGCAGACACCCATATACCCAGGTGTAGATTTTTTTTTAAAGATTTTATTTATTTTTAGAGAGGGAAGGGAGGGAGATAGAGAGAGAGAGAGAGAGAGAGAGAGAGAGAGAGAGAGAGAGAGAGGGAGAGAAACATCAATGTGCGGTTGCTGGGGGTTCTGGCCTGCAACCCAGGAATGTACCCTGGCTGGGAATCGAACCTGGGACACTTTGGTTCCCAGCCTGCACTCAATCTACTGAGCTATGCCAGCCAGGGCCCAGGTGTAGATTTTAATGTTTTGCTTTTTCACCTGTGGTCTTCTATCTTTTTCCTTAAGAAATAAGATTTTATAGAGTTAGAGCCCTTCTTCAATTTAAGTTTTCCCACAGTTATTTTCACTGTGATTTCTTTTACATATGCTTACAATTTTTCTAATTTTTTGTATTTTTTCTTCTATTACAGTTACCCCAATTTTTCTCCCTTTGCCCCCCTCCATCCAGCCCACCCCTGTAGCCCATAGTCACTCCCCTCTCTGTCATCTCAGTCTATAGTCATTCACATGTGTTCCTTGACTAATCCCTTCGCCTGTCTTCCAGGGTTCCCCCAGTCCCTCCTTCCCTCCTGCAGCTGTCAGTCTGTTCCATGTTTCCATGCCTCTGCTTCTGTTTTCCTTGTTAGTTTTTTTTTTTTGTTCATTAGATCCCAGTTATAAGTGAGATCATGTGGTAATTGTCTTTCTCTGACTCACTTATCTCACTTAGCATAATGCTTTCCAGTTCCATCCATGCTGTCACGAAGGGTAGTAACTCCTTCTTTCTTTCTGCTGCATAGTATTCCATTGTGTAGATGAGAATATGTGATCTTTTGTGCCTGACTCCTTTCACTTGGCATAATGTTTTTGAGGCTCATCCACATTATCCACAACACAGTAATTTGTTCAATTTTATGACTAAATAATATTCCATTTATGGATGCACCATAACTGGCTTATCTATTCATCTGTTAATAAACATTGTAACTATTTACACCCTTTGCCTATTGCAGATAGTGGTGCTCTGAAATTTGTGTACAAGTATTTGTTCAATTAGTTGTTTTCAATATTTTAGGCATATACTTAGGAGTGAAATTTCTGGCTCATAGGGTAATTGAATATTTAACTTTTTGAGAACTTGCCAAACTGTTTTCCACAATGGCTGCACCATTTTATATTCCCACTTGCAGCATATCAACTGTCTACATCCTCACCTATACTCATTACTTTCTATTTTCTTGATTATTACCATCTTAGTGAGTGCTGAATGATACCACATTGTGGTTTTAATTTGCAGTTCCCCAATGACTTATTATGCTGAATATTTTTATGTGTTTTGACCATTTGTACAAAATTTTTTGAGAAATCTGCATTCAAATTCTTTACACACTTTTACAATTAAACATTGAATTGTAAAAGTTCTTTACATATTGTAGATATTAGAGCCTTATGAAATATACAATTTGCTTATATATTTTTTCCTTTCTACAGGTTGTCTTTATACACTCTTGATTGTCCTTTGCATGAAATGTTTTAATTTTTATGAGGTCCATTTTACCTGTCTTTTCTTTTATTACATATATTTTTGGTGTCATAGCTAATAATCCATTGCCAAATATGAAAGCCATGAAGATTTACTAGAATGCTTTATTCAAGTTTTATAGTTTCAGCTCTTATGTTTATGTTATGATTAATTTTGAGTTTTTATATATGATGTGAGGTATGGGCCCCACTTCATTCTTTTGCTTGTGAATATTGAGTTGTGCCAGCACCATTTATTGAAGAGGCGATCCCTAATTCATGAAGTGATCTTGAAAGCATGATAAATAAGTTCACCAGATGTATGAGTTTATCTTTGGGCTCTTCATTTTATTCCATTGCTCCATTTGTCTTTATGCCAGTACCACACTGGTTTGATTACTGCTGCTTTGTAGCAAGTTTTGAAAATGGGAAATGTGAATCCTCCAATGTTGCTCTTCTTGTTCAAGATTATTTTGCCTATTTGAGGCTCCTTTAAATTTCATATCAATTTGAGCATTGGTGTTCCAATATTTTCAAAACAGGTCATTGAAATTTTGATCAGGATTGAACTGAAAATGTAGATCCCTTTTGGTAGTACTGACATCTTAATACTATGTCTTTTAATTCATAAACATAGGCTGTCCCTCCATTTATTTAGGTCTTCTTAATATTCTTTCAGTAATGTCTTATAGCTTCCAATACACAAGTCTTTTATCTGCTTGGTTAATTTACTCTTAGTTATTTTATTCTTTTGGATGTTGCTGTAAATGACATTGTTTTCTCTATTTTGTGTGTGTTGTTCATTGGTGGTGCATAGGAAAACAACTGAGTTTTTCAAGGTATAATTGATGTATAGTTGACACATGACATTTATTGGTTTCAGGAGTAAAACATAATTTAATGTTTGTATATATTGTAAGGTGTTCACCAAAAGTCTAGTTAACATCTATCACCATACACAGTTGTAAAAATTATTCTCTCATGATGAGAAATTTTAAGATGTATTCTCCTAGCAACTTTCAACTATGCAACACAGTGTTATTAACTATAGTTACCATGCTGTATATTACATCCTCTGACTTGTTTATTCTATAATTAGAAGTTTGTACTTTTTGACTCCCTTCACTCATCCACCTACTCCTTACCTTCCCTTGATCTTTGGCAACCACCACTTTATTCTCTGTGTATGTGCTAGGGTTTCAGTTTTTTTTGGTTTTGCTTTTTTATTTTCTTTATATTGCACATATAAGTGAGATCATCTGGTATCTTTCTCTGTTTGACTTATTTCACTTACTGCCCTCAAGATCCATATATGTTGCCACAAATGACAATTTCATTCTTTCACATTTTCTTTATCCATTTATTTTCAATGGACACTGAGGTTGTTTCTGTGTCTTGGCTTTTGTAAATAATGCTACACTGGCTTTTGTAAATAATGCTACACTGTGGAGGATGCAGACAACTTTTCAAGTTATGTTTTCGTTTTCTTCAGATAAATACCCAGAAATGAAATTGCTGATCATATTACAGTTCTATTTTTTAAATTTTATTTCTTAATTATAGTTGACAGAGTAGTACATAAGTTTCAGGTGTACAACATGGCAATTAGACACTTAGAAACCTTATGAGGTGATCACTATGGTAAGTTTAGTACTTACATGGCACCTTACAGAGTAATTAGATTATTGAATGTACTCCCTAAGTTATATTTCACATCCCTGTGACTGTTTTTATACCTGGAAAGCTTTTTTTTTTATTCTCTTCAACTTGTTCAACCTACCCCCAAACCTACCTCCCATCTGGTCATCATCAATTTGCTCCCTATGAGTTTTTCTGCTCTGTTTGTTCATTTATGTCATTTATAGGATTCCACATCTAAGTTAAATTATACGGTATTTGTCTTAACTCCATCTGATTTATTTCACTTAACATAATATCCTCTAGGTCCATCTATGTTGTAAATGGCAAGATTTTATACTTTTCATGGCTAAGTTACAGTCCATTGTATATACATACCACAACTTCTTTATCCACTTGATGATTGATGGACCTTTGGTTGTTCCTTTATCTTGGCTATCGTAAATAATGCTGCAATAAACATAGATGTGAATGTATCTTTTCAAATTAGTGTTGTGGATTTTTTTGACTATATATACCCAGAAGTGGAATGTTGGGTCGTAAGTTAGTTCTATTTTTTTTTTTTTTTGCAGTTTCTCCTTACTGTTCTCCATCATAGTGGCCTCAATTTACAGTCCCACCAACAGTACACTGGGGTTGGTTCCCTTTTCTCTACAACTTCACCAACACTTGTTTGTTGATTTATTGATAACAGCCATCCTGACAAATGGTAGTATCTCACTGTGTTTTTAATATGCATTCCTGATGTCTAGAGACATCAAACTCTCTTCATACATTTCCCATTTATATATCCTCTTGGAAGAAATGTCTGTTCAGGTCCTCCTCACATTTGTAATTGGATTGTTTTGGTTCTTTTGGTGTTAAGGTGTCTATGTTTCTTATATACAATTCTTGTATACCAAGCTACATTTTCAGCAGTTCATTTTCAATATTATTATTTATTGGTTTCAGTGTACAGCATAGTGGTTAGACACAATTGCATACTGTACAAAGTGTTCCCCCTAATGTTTCTGGGACCCACCTGGCACCATGTGAGGTCTTCCCAGAAAGTATCCAGTCATGTAATATGAAAAACAGAGACATTTATTGAAGAAAATACAAAATGCAAGAAACATTGTACTTTCTTAACACACTCAGAAAATGAGTTTTCTAAAATCTCCTAGGAATGATTAAGAAGGACCTCTGAGATGAAGGGAACTGCAGCTTTTCTTTACCTTTTGCTTAATGTACATACTTACCCCAAACGTGTCCTAGCTGCTAGTGTTAGAAAGAAAAAAGCCATTAAGCATATGTTCTATAATTTTGTAGGACTAATTTTTAATCTTGCATGTCATTATTTTTTTAATTTAATCTTTATTGTATTTTTATAGTTGTTTGATTCATTAGAAAAGGTTATTGGAATCTGAATAAAACCTCATAAATTAACAAAATCAACACTAGTAAAAAAGGCTTTTCATTTATATCTATTTATATGCTTACCTATAGCTTATCCTGCATATCCATAAAAGAATTTGAGGTAAATGTTTACAACTAAGAGATAGAAGAAAACAAAAGCCACGCACAAAGGTGTGACATGTGTTACATGATCTGACCTTTCCCTGTCTGTGCTGAATCAACATCTCACATTCATGACCTAAGAAGCATAATAATGTGTGCAATATATTTGTCCCCAGTCAAGCATGCAGTATGTATTTCCTCAATTAAAAAAAGTCAAAATGAAAAGGAATAGACACCTGGTATTATTAACAGTGTTTTTATTTACAAAGAATTATTTTCATTTGGTTGTTTGGAAAACCACTAACATTTTTCACTTTAGAAAACATTAAATAATAAGCAAGATGTTATACAGTACTTTGGATAACTTCTTTCATCAGTTTAGTGCAATGTATTATTGGCACCTAAAAGTGAAATGTTCAATATTTCCCCCTTTCACCTTCAATTGTGCAGTTAATAAGACCAAAAAAGGTAACAAACCATTAAAAAGACTCTACAGCCATATTTTCTGGCCTCTATTCAAAGGTTCACTGATTTATACTCCCCTCCTGCCCCGCCTCCACCAAGTTCAATGACAAGAGGTATACTATTAAACCTATTTTTCTAAAAACATTACCATTGTGGAACCTGGGAGATTCAATTGATAAGAGAAACTGAATCGCACCAGCTGGGTGAGGGAGAGGGCCTGGGTCACACACTCGGCAGAGACACTGCTCCAGGAAAGAGGCTCTGTAAACTCTGTTATAGTCTTTTTAAAAATCTTAAGTATTGTCCACTGGGCAAGTGAAAGGGTTATACTTATTCAAGGAAAAAAAATAAACACCACCACATTAGGACACTGAGATCCTAAAACATCTGTTTATTATACTCTTTTTGGAATAAATACATATATATATGGTTTTTTCTTCTTTTTTTGTTTTAATACTGCTAGGTTTGCCATAAAGGGAGAGACATTTTAGTGAGCCTAGCATTTGGTGGATTTTCCCCTTTTTGATTCCTCTCCATCAGGAGCCAAAGAGGGAAATGCCTAAATTAAATCTTGGCCCATTCCAAGTGACCTAGTGCTGGCGATTTTCATTACGTGGTAATAGATCAAAATATCTTCTGGGAGGTTCTGTACTCTGTTACTCTACCTTGAACATCATTAACCACCTGATATAGACAAATTTTTATCCAATTTTTAAAAGCCTCAAAAAAGAGAGTGAGACAAAGTCACACTTCTTTATAAGGGATTCCAACTTAACAACTGGCCCCGCCAGAAAATGCTCCCTCGTTGCTGCAGTCTGAGCCTGCTTCCTCTCGTTCTGTTCTTGGTGTGGCAGAGAGCAGCTGGCCACCACCCTCTGTGAACCAGCCCTTGGACACTGGAACACCAGCAACGATTTGCCCCCAGTCTTCTCTTCTCCGGGACGAATAATCCCAGTTCCTTTCATTTTTCATCATAGATCATTTTCCCAACCCTTTAATCATCTTTGTGATTCCTGGCAAAAGTAGCAGAAAATATTTTGATTACTTAATCAGAAATGAGGAAAAGCCTCAGTAGTAAGTTGATTTTAAAAGTTATATACTATTCTTATAAAGTTAAAATACACAAGGAGGAAATATATTAGTTGAGGGTTCTTAAATCTTAGAATTCCAATCTTGTTCCATTGTTCTAGTGCGTAAGTGGATCCTGTCCCAACACATTCAATACCTCAAAGCATGAGACTTGCTTCCTGTCCCACCCTGGCACGAGAGAACCAAAGTTATCAGCTAGGCCTGCCTAAGTTTATACTGATTTAAAATTAGTAAGAAACTGTTCCAAAGGGGCTGTTCCCATGCTTCTCCTCACCCTGTTTCCTTAAACAGAATGTTTCCTCTGAAACAGCCAGAACGTTTACCAAGCTTCTTACAGTTACCAGAGAGGACCAGGCTCCTGGGGGGGAAGCTGTTGGTTTAAAAGTGTAACCAGAAACAGGTTCATATACTAACTTCTGCTTCTTGTCTACCTAAGTAAATGGTTTCTTATCCTTCGTAGGAATCTAATTCAAGGTCATTCAAACATTCATCCCTCCACTACCACAACCTGACACCGCTTCAAATTCCTCTTACTCCAATATAAGGTCACTGAACTGGGTACCATTTCACCATGTATTTTTTAATTCAAGAGATCACAAGCTGCCTTTTCTCTTGCAACTAGAGTCTGTAAATATTAGGAACACGTTAACTATTTAATATCAATAGCACATTTACACAAAACACAATACTACTAACAAGGAATTATGTGCCCACTTTACATAATTGTCTTTAAAAGAAAAATACAGATAACAAGAGTAAATGCATTTTGATATGTTGCACACCCTTCTTTTATAAAATGAATGGCAGGACAAGAGTTCAGGTCAGTCCAGGGAAGAGGAGAAACCAGTTTCACAAGCACATGGTACAACATGTCTTCGGGGAAGTCAATACTACTCAAGGTACAACACTGAACAGATAACAGAATGCCATTTGCACAAATTTCTTCTGAAAACGTCTCCCATAACTTGCTACAAGGAGCACCTTATAACCGGGATGAAGGCATAGGCCACACATGCTGAAGGCCAGTTCCTACGAGGTCACACCCAGAGATGGACTGCATGTGTCCGCAGGTGCCCCTCCCCTTTCAAGGAGAGTGTCACTTGTTCATTGGGATTGCACAAAAGCAGGCCGACAAGACGAGGGTCAGTGACCACTTTCTCTGACCCACTGACGCACTCTTCTCCTAGGCCTGATAAGAGGGAGGAGAAGACAGGAGGTGAAGATCAGAAAAAGAAGAGGGAGCAACATAGGAGTTCATCACTAGTTGTGGAGTCGCTCGCGTTCTTCAGAGCAGTGGCCTTTTCTCAAGCTCACATCATCCAATCCAATCTCCCCGGTGTGACCACGCCTTTTTTCACCTTTGAAGATGACCTAGGGAGAGAACGCACACACCGGTCAGGCCTCTACTGCCCTTCCCAATGCCTGCTTATTTAGCAGTATGAAGGCAAACTTCCCCAAAACTAAATAGTAAACTTACTTAACAGAAGGAAAGACTAGAGGACAGTTTGACCTGAGGCTTGCCATCTGGTAGAAACTTAAGTCAACTGTTATTACTCAGAATCAGTTTTCCTTTAAAAGCCATTCTAAACTATGGACTACTTCACTTTAGGAATGCTTATGATATAGACACTTCTGCCAAAGATCACCGAGGTCAGAAGCAAAGAGTGCGAGGGAGCGTGAGGGAGTGTGAAGGTGCAGAGGTTGAGACCCAGAGATCCAGAGGACACAGTCCTGCAGCCTGATGCTTTCCAGCTCCTCCACTGGGTTCACACAGCTTTGCAGCAACATGGAAGAGAATCAGACTCCATAATCTAACCATGGTGTTGTTTTCCTTGCATAAAGACCAAGGACTTTACCTATCCTTGCATTTTATCTTTTATAGCATCCTTGCTCCTTTGTGGGGGTTGGGGTGAGGTTAGGGGGTGGAGGGATCCAGCAGATAGGAAGAAGGACTCGTGGACATGGGCAACAGTGTGGTGACTGCTGGGGGGAGCAGGGACAGAGGGACTAAATGGTAATAGAAAAAATACAATAAAAAATGAAAGCTAAAAAATAAAAACAAAAGAAACCAGTCTCTTCTGTGATTTGAAATGATTTTATCTTGTTTTATTTCTCTAAAAATATGAATATTAAGAAAAATTTTAAGAAAAATAAGAGTAAAAAAACTTCAAGATTCTGATAAAAGCTGTAATAATGCAGGCTACTTTTTTTTCTAAAAGAGTTTCTAGAAACCATACCTATAGGCATAGATGGAGAATATACTAGTAGAAGTTTTTTATAGGCATCAACATAAATAAGACAGTTTTTCCAAATACATCATTTCAGTGAGGTGTTACGGATCTCCTGATTGGTACGTAACTTGGTTACTTAAGATAAAATGTATATATTTAATCAAAGCTTTTCCCACATGCTGTCTTACTTAATAAGGCAAAGAGGGAAAAATGGAATTCAAAGGAATATTTTGGTACAAAAAGCAGTTTAGGGTAACTCGTGGTCCGAGTTTGAAGTAGAAGGAATGAAGGGAGATACCCTTTGAAGTTCCTCTTAACATATTTACTTTTTCAGTTACTTTTTTTTTTTTTAACCAGAAGTAGGGGATCTACCCTAGGGTGGTGGGAGCGGTGGTCATGGGTTAAAATGAAGAGTTACAAAGACACTAAAAGTGATTAAAGAAAGAGGCAGGAATGGAGTTGTCATATCCAGAAAAACACTAACTTTTGTCTGAACCCGAGTTAACGAAGAGAACAAGACTTCTCCCAGCTCAGACCCCGGAGTTCTCCTGTAAAAGGGAAAGCTCCCAGTCTGCGTTCTACTTACGTTCTTGACATCGGCCCCTCGCAGTGTGATCTGCGTTTGCCTCCAGCCACGGCCCCCGTTTCTTCCCCACAGTGCTGCTCCGTGGGCACCGTGTTTTCTCACAAACACCTGGAGCGTGCCGGAGTGCAGCCCAGTTACCTTGTGCCTGAATGACAGGCACAGGTCCCCTGAGTGCATGAGGTGGCCGAGAGGCAGCACCAAGCGTGCAGCTTTCCCCCCTGGGCCCTTGGCGGCTGAGACGGTCAGGTACTGTCCACCTACAATGGGAAAGCAGGGCCGTGGGTGTACGCACAGACATCCCTTGAAGCACAAAAGTATGGACAGGAGTTGCACATTTTTTGTTTAAATAAACTTCAAACTGTGGCAGTCACTTGTGAAGAATTTCAGATTACTGAAGGAGAAAAGTATGACTTATTCTATGCCTGCCTCAAATTCCATAGTTTTGTGTTTACAGAAAACACACACTCACGTGCTGATGGAAAGGACGAGCCATGCCAGAGACACACAGCGATTAGGAACCCGAACACTGCCAGCACTGCCGGGGGGATATGATCAGACACACACAGGCATGCACAGACGCCCACCCGCCTTTGCCACCTCCCGATCCTCCCCGGGTGATGATTATGTTGTCAGGTCGGCTGGCCGCCTGGGCGGGTGACTCTGAGTTGCCCGGACAATTTTCTGTGTGGATAATTAACCTCCAGGCAGCAGGGCAGGTGGTAGTTTAAAGGGTCCTAAATCTGTTTATTATCTCTTCTGATTTTTTTGTAAATCTAGAGAAAACAGTCCTTTAAAAATGTGAGAGCTTGCTATGCCTCTCCCACTGAAAGCACCTCACCGCGGGAATAGGCAGAGGTGCTCTGGAAACCCTCCAGTTTCTGGGAGCATCAGTTTTATTTGAAGATAAGTAGTTTACAATGTTTTCATATTGTAACAATTATATAATACATAATGTAATATAATATACATGAACACAAAATGTTAACAAAACTGTCACTTCAGACAGGTCACCTTGTCCTCAGATCCTTTGGGCTACAGCGTTTGCCTTCCCCATTGTTAGATAAACTGCAATTAAGGGGAAGAACAGTTTGAGCAGCAGGGAGTGGGGGAAAGCTTTTTCTCAAGGGGGAAAGTTGTAGGTAGTATTCTGAAACTCAATCCAAGCACAAACAACATTCCTCTCAGGCTGTTTTACTGTAGCCAACCGAAAAACACCCTGTGTTTCAACACTGATTTAGCCACAGGAAAATGGGGTTGGAATGCTCAATGCATGCATCTGTTCTGGTAGTAACCCCATTTATTTGTCAATGAAAAGACAACCATTTTTTTTCCTATGTGTACTCTGTATCAGACATGATTGAGGTTTGGGATGTCCTCCCATTTTTCAAGTGAGGTCTCTTTTAAGTGCTCTCTGAGCAGCCAAAGGACCAAAGAGATGATTTCTGGCCACATTTCTGCACCAAGCAGCGCTGAGGGCTCCATGGTGGCATCCCATGGATGCTACTCACAAGCCTGTGGAGCGAAGGCTTTGAGGGGTGAAGTCACCCAGGGTGTGGATAAAGGTCTGAGTGCAGAGCTGACTGGGCCCCTATTCAGTACTTGCTACCCTCTGATTGGATCGCTGGTTTGCGTGCTCCTCTCCCCCCAGATGCGCACTCTTTGATGTCAGAACCAACTGTTCCCCCAAGCCACCCCATTACACTCCTGGCATATGGTAGGAGTTCAATGCCATTTGTTGAATAAATGATGTCCTAAGAATTCAGAAAACAAAACCCCCTGCAAGGAAATAGGTCCGTGAGTCATATACTTGAATCATCAACAACAAACACAATTTCTTATCATCATCCCACTACCCCCATCCTCCCAAATTAATCCAAATGGTATTTTAGGCCAAAATATTTAGATGGATTTTATATGTCTTCCCATAAGTTAGCTTTTGAATCATCACAGGTATTTTGGTTAAGACTAAGATATAAGGTTGTTACAGTTAACATGCAAGTTTGAAGAAAACAAGGATTATCTTAAGTCTCTGTGGAATGTATACTAATGTCACTGCCAGACGCTGCCTGTGAGTCAGGAAACCTAACAAACCAAGGCACCCTAACAAATGTCTACCCTAAAAGTGTAAAATGCGTGGTCAGTGAGGCCACAGTTGCTCTTCCTCCACAGACCTGCTCTGTGAATGTTTATTTGGTGTTATAACTAGCTTTTTTATAAATATTATCAGCCATTTTTTATGTCAACAAATAGACATTTTTCACAGCTTCAAGTATGCCATTGATAATTTAGCCATTTTTTGCTGAAGAATATTTGTTTCCAAATTCTCACTCCAAGATAACACTGTGAAGTAGTAAGACAAGCCAAAAAATATTTGCAACACATGAAAAAGGACTGTTTCCCTTTTACCCAGAAGTTACAAACCAACAGTAAAGAGAACACAAAAGACAAATACATAGCATCTCAGAAAAAATGACTTAAAATGTGAAAAGATGGTCACCTTTTCACAACAAAATAAATTAAAATGAGATGGCTTTTTACCAATAAGCTTGGCAAAGATTTTTGAAAGCAGTTGAATAAGATCTATTGTTGGGATGGCCCTTAAACATTTATTTGTGGGAGTCTAAACTGGTATAACCATCATGGAGGGCAATGTAGTGAAATCTATCAGAATTCAAATGCAAGTTCCCTTTGATTCGGTAACCCACCTCTAGGAGTTTATTCTACAGACGCATTCTATTTGAACGTACATGAAATGACACGTATATGAGGTTTCCATGGCAGTATTGTCCGAACTCCCAAAAGTCTGGAAACAACTGAGATGTTTTTCAGAGATGGCTGGCTAACTGCAAGGGCACATCTGAGGAATGATGGAGGGACAGTCATGGATAAGAGTGAGGGTGTTGACGTAGGACCGTCTTCAGCAGCAATGGCTGACATTATTTTAATGGTAACTCTGGAACAGGCACTGCTTTAAATGCTTTACATATGTTGAATAGGTACTTCTGATTATCTCCCTTTAAATGACTTGCTCAAAGTCAAAGCTAATGAGCAGTGGTGCTGGGTTTTGGCCCAGGCATTTTGGCTTTAATGTCCTTGTTCTTCATGTGAACTCTTACAATAATATCCTTAAGTGACAAAAGCAAGGTACGTAAGAGGGTGCTTTGCTGTCATATGGACAAATGCATCTCTAGGAAGATAACCATGGAAGTGGTTGCATCTGAGGTCAACTGAGAGCCAGGGCTGGAAGGAGGCATTTGTCTTCACTGTTGATTTTGCTTTCCACTCACAAGTGTTTCAAAATAATGCTGCTTATTGCTGCATCAGACATACTTGTATGTACACGCTGGCATACTTATTCTATATTTAAGTGAATTCCTTGTAACAAGCAGCAGGCAGGGCACTGAGTCACCTTTAACCACCGATCCCCAGTGATCAGGGTTCTAGGAACCGGGCCCAGGTCCAACCTCGACATCTACAGGAGAAGGGCATGTCTTCAGGGCCTCAGCATAGGCCTGCAGTGAATCTCTGCATCTGCTGGCAGCACAACTTCCCATTCTTCAGAGCAGGGGTCTGGGCTTGTTAGGGACAGGGCCCCATGGCAGGAGGTGAGCTTGAATGCAATGCTGTTGAATCAGCTGGAGACCATCCCCCACCTTCCAGTCTGTGGAAAAACTGTCTTCCATGAAACCGGTCCCTGGTGCCAAAAAGGTTGGGGACCACTGCTTTAGAGGAATGTATTAATTTCACTATCTCACAAGTAAGTTCAAGATTGAATGTGATAAACAGAACCCAGTGAGCACCCGGCAGGGCAGCTAGCAAAGGCAATTATTTATAGCTGTTTCTCAAATTTGTAAGTTTATTTAATTCTGGGTTTTCTCTTCTCAGAGATATTAGTATATAAGAATATTTGCATATTTGGATCTTGGATAAGAAATGCACATCAAAATCAGTCTTAACTGTGGAAATCCAAACATATGCCCCTTTACAAATGGTATAATCTAAATAGGAGCAAGTAATGAATTAGCTTGGTAATTAGATAATACACAGAAATAATTCATTAAATTGCTTATATTTATATACACATAACCTCACTTAAATGTCCTAGAAGGAAAATGGGCATTTTTCTTAAGAAGTTTTATGAGTATTTCTCCATCAGTATATGGTTGGAATTCCTCAACATACTCTAAAAAGCCCATCTGCAATTCCACCTTGATCTGTGGCGTGCCCTCCTACCCTCCTTCCAACTCTCTGCCCTCTTTCTGTCTTCCCTTCTACTCTCCAAGCTGGGGCCCTGCTGCTCACTGCTCTTCTGGGGATGACCTGGGGCATTCCATTCTGAGTCAGCAGCTCTCAGAGCTGGTGCAAGAGGATTTCTAGCCCAACACTAATCCAGTGCTCAAACCAACATCCTGCTGTCCAGTCACCTGCTCCACTGACAGAGAGCTCCTTACTTCGATGCCAGCCTGAGCTCTTTGCAAAACAGCTCTGACTCTTGGGAAGTTCTGTCTGAAAGTGAAGCAAAATCCATCTCTCTGTTGCTTCCACCTACTGAGCTGACATACATCCCTTTGTGATCACAGAACAAGGGTGATAGTTGTCAGTGAAATATTTGAAAAGCAGCCCTGATCCACTATTTATTCTCCAGGATAAACATGCTGGCCTCTTCCCCTGGCTGTGAGACACCTCTCCATCCAGGTCATTCTGCATGACCTGCACTTATCTCTATTCTTCTCAGACCAGAAAGAACCCACCAAAGTGGAGTTTCCATTCTGTAAAAAATAGCCTATTTCAGGGAAATGACCCAACTTTTTGGCAGCAACAACACAGGGCTCACTCACTGATTTTTTATCCACTAAAAACCTAGTCTTTCACACTTACTACCGAGGTACTTCTTCCCCTCACACGGCTGAGTAAGTGGTGTCCAGACCGTGAGCTATGCCGCGTGTTCACCCCCATTAGATTTCACCCTCTTAGATGAGGCCTGACGATCTGATCTGTGGAGCTGACTGTGTCAGCACTTTCTCCTCTGGCTTCGAGCCCTCCACAGTTGGAGGAGAATGCCTTAATAACCACAGCCAACATGCAGTTGATCCATGTCGCCGGTGAACACCCGGAGCAGCCCCTGGGAGAGCGGCCCTGGAACATTCACCAGGAGCTCTCCAGTCACATCCCAGCAGCCACCGCTTCCTTTCCCCATGTTCTTCATGGTCATGGCCAAATCACCACTTCTAACTTTTTTTTGCCTGACACTTTAATTTCCAATCCTCTTCTCTTTTTTTCCATCAGAGAGCAAGTGGGTCACAACAAATTTAAACATTCACAAATGAGATGAATAATAAAAAGAGTTGAAAAGTACTAAATCGGTCCTATAAAATAGTATGTGCATTCTATCTAAATAGTATGTAAAGTCAACTATTTCTCTGTCTACATAGACTTTTTACATAGATCTGTAGCAAATTCTTCTGAGTTGATTTAGCATGAATTACTCTCTTCAGTGTGCCTTACTTGAAAGGTTATTCATTATGACCATGAACGTGCATGGCTGCTCACGATTCTTCATTCGGTAGAAACTACTCCAGGCGAGCGGCCAGACAAGCCCACAGGGCTGAGACCTCCTAATCGGGTCACGCACTCTACCACAGGAGACGGGGGCCAGGCTGCGGGGGAGTGAACACCCCGAATCCTGCGGCAGGTGTCCTGGACACTGAACCGCCTGGGAGGCCATGAGCAGCCCAGGGAGGTCTGGGTGTGAAGTCTGCTCTTTTGCTCTGTGGCCTTAGGAAATGTATGTAAACTCTGGGCCTCAGTATTTCCTTTGTAAAATAAAAACAATACTACCCGCTTCACAGGATGGATAAGAGGATATTAAATAAAATTAATGAGATGATGAATGACTCAAGACTACAGTAGGTATTAAATAAATGTTGGTTTCTAATTCACAGATATATGTGACACTAATAATAATGTTGTCCCAATAGCCACAGGGATGTAAAGTACAACATAGGGAATACAGCCAATAATATTATAATAACTAGGTATGGTGCCAGGTGGGTACTTGAATTATCTAAGTGATCACTTTGTAAATTACATAGTCTACTGTTATGCTATACAGCTGAAACTAATGTAAAATAACATTGAATATCAGTTAATTAAAAAATAACATTTAATTCTATAACATTTAAAACTATATAGCCCTGGCTGGATAGCTCAGTTGGTTAAAGTGTCATCTGAATACTCCAAAGTTGTGGGTTTGATCCCTGGTCAGGGCACATACAAGAGGCAGCCAATGAGTGCATGAACTACGCACAACTCGGTGTTTCTCTCCCTCTGAAATCAATAACTACAGCCGTCTGTCACAGTAACAGCGTCCTGCTCACAGCGGCCCGCAGTGCACCAGAGCTGACAGCAGAGTGAGAGTGAGAGGGGCTGGCTGGCCTCTGTGCCTGCATGTCATTAACAATTATTGTACAGCTAAAAAAAAAAATCTAAAAAAAAATTTGAATCTGAAGAATATTCATATTTTTGAAAGCTTACCTCAAATTTTTATTTTAAAATATCTACTATTTTCAATCTTGGGGATCTAATGAAATATTTTGGTCTAATATTGTATTTTAATACCTTGCTGCTCAAAATGTTAATCAAGGGTCAGGAACACAGGCATCCCCAAGAAGCTTGTCAGAAATGCATCAAAACCTACATTTTAACCAGGCATCCAGATGAATTGTACAAATGCTGAAGTTTGAGAATAACTGGTTTAACAGAGCATATCCTCTCTCAAGTTAACTTTTGTGTTTTGTGTTCTTCTGTATAATACCTGGGATGGTATTAAGAACTAGGCTTTTCATTAACAGCATACTTTTTAGTTAACACTATACTTTTTCTTCACATCCAGTCTCTTTCATTCCTAATTTTAAAACCAGGAGTATAAAAAGGACAAAAACGAAACCAGACTCCTCATCCTTCCATGAGTTGACATCATCCATAAAAGATTTAATTACTTAGGGGAGGGAAAAAAACCAACAATATGTAGCTTTACTTTCTGGAACAAGAAAACAAAACAACTTACAAGTATTAAAACCTCAAAGTGTGAGATTGAAAAGCCTGTTAATTTTCCAAGGAACTATGTCTAAATCTACCTTATGAAGAACATTCTCTAGGAATAAGTAGTGGTACTTTATAACTAATTTTTCCAGCATCCAAGTTAGATTGAATTTTTTTTTCATAGAGGTATTCACAACTTCACAGAACCGTCAGTCTCCTTCAACTATGTCTCAAATCTTTAAAAAAAAAAAAAAGACACAAGTGGGAAAATAGCCAGCAGCTTCTACCATGGCTGATAAACTTCTTTTACATTTGGGAATGAGGCACTACAAGTAAGCTAGAATAGGTTAGAATAACTCCACTTGTTTTATTCACCAAGCTTTTTGAGAGGTACTTACTGGCCTTTTAATGAACTACTCATCTTCCCACAGTATAATTCTTATTGACAGCTAACATTTTTAGTTCCCTTAAAAAATGGGACATATGAAGGCTGGGCAAGTTGTTTCTTTACCCTCGTTACTGGGCAAACAGAGATGTGGCAGTACACTTGGTCAGCAGCACTAGGGTCTCCCATCAGATGGAGGTGTCCTTGAGTGACGTCACCCGTCTTACCTGCTGGGTCCCTCACTGGCTCCCAGTGCAGGTCACTGTCTTTTTCCCTGATCCACCCGCAGAGCCCATGGTCAAAACTGCAACTGTGTATGAGGACACCTGTGAGGAAAAGACCAGAAAGACAAGTAAACCACAGACTAACAACAGCATGTATTTGTTAACAAGGTTATCTGTACACGTGCTCCCTTCCATCCACACTTAACTAATCTACCAGAACTTCTCTCCCAGAGATCAAAAGGAAATCACATGCATCCTTCCTCAGCACAATTGTGCCTGCATGCTCAGCTGTAAAAACACAGCACACGAATGTTGCCAAATTATGACCTTGTTTCATCATCACTTATAAAATATGATTTCCTCCCCCGAGTTTCTATTAAATGCAGTTTAATATATTTTTAAAAAGATAAATAATGATGACTCGATTATCTGTGCCCAGCTGATTTAACTGCAGAGGAAATCAAGTTGTATAAAAAAAAAAAAAAGATCTAAAATTTTCCCAGGTGCAACCTCACAATTTACAATTTAAAAGTTAGTTTCATGAAAAAAAGGGAAATAATACAATGCCATTCTAATGGTACTAAGAATAGAAGTGTCTACCTGGATCATCCTTTGCTTCATCCTCTGCACTGACTCCTCTTTCAATTTCAAATATTTCAAACAAATCATTTGAAGGATGCCGTGGGACTGCAAGAGAGGGAGATGCTTTGTTTTGATGAAGTTTTCATAAGGAGACATTACCTTTAATGGCGGCAGGGGAGAAAAACCTGGGCATTCACTCATCTGGAAGAATGCAAAATAACTGCATTTCACATGAAGATTCACAAAGTTTGTTCAACAGTGATGTATACTGTAATATTTATCTAGGTACAAACAAAACATGGTTTTCAAAAGTTTCTAATCTCAACATAAAGTGTATTAAAAAGGATTTCATCTGGAAAATACACTTTAAAAGAGCCACCAATTACAAGTAAAATATTCATCTCTATGAAATTCAAAATTGCGTCTCTATGAAAGATGCACTTTGAACTCTAGATTAGGGATATTTTCCCCAAAATGCCTGGTTTGGCTTTTCAACCACAGCCTTGACCCCACTCCAGCAAGCACTGTGCACCGGTGCACACTGATCTGGATTTCTTACCTGGACCTGCCTTGCTTAAGCAGGTGCCCTGGCTCCTCTAAGATCAAATTCAAAGGCCTTGGTGCAGCATTTACAATCCCACCACTCCCACTCCCAACTGAATGTCACTCATGTTCAGTCTCTGACCCTGTCCCCAGTTTGAGATGCTCTTCCTGCTAATTAACCCACCAAACTTCTCTTCGTTCATGCCCCAGGCAAACATCACTGCCTGTGTGAATACTTTTGTGCCCAGGCAAATTAAATTCTTCCCCCTTTTAATTCATAGACTCCTGTATTCACACCTCTATTCCACTTTTTCATAGACTTGCACTTATTTACATACATGTGAGTCATACAGGTGGGTCCCTCTGCCAGTCCCTGAGGTCCCAGAGGGCAGCGGTCATGTCTTATTCACATGGCATTCCCAGGGTGTGACCTGGTGACAGGCACTCAATAAGTGTTCACTGAACAAAGGTGAAGATCTTGTCAAGAAACCCAAGGACTCTGGTCAACCCTTTTCCTCATGGAAACAAGTGGGGCAGAGCTTAAGTAGACACTTTTTAAAACCTGGATGAATTTAAATCATTAGCTTTTCATTCCTTTAATGTGTATTTGATTACCACTCATATGCCTGCACATTAACGGGAGGGGCAGGCATGAGCTGGAAGGTCAGTGAACACAATGATTCTGACTGTTGGCGAGGGCCGGGGAGGCAAACACCAGATGACGTTTGCCTCGATGGGCACTCACAGGGAGTGGCTAGGGTGAGACTGGGGAGTGCGGGAGCCGTGGTGGGGGTGGGGAATTCTTGGCCAAAGACCAGGGAATACTCCCTTTACTTTGACAGAACTTAAATGAATTATCTATTTTTATAAGGCAGAGAGTGAAAGATGTGTAGAACACCAAGCAACAGATATTAATCAAAAGGGTTCTTTTTTCGATGATGTTCCTATTATTTTTAGCAAGAATTTTTAAATGAACAATTTCATAATATTTACACGGATATTTTTAAAGCTTACTGCTCTGAAGTTTTTTCCTGCTTGTTTCAAAAGTCCAGCCAGTAAAGCCCCTCCCACACACTCACTTATTCTCAGCCTGTGAGGGACAGAGAAGAGAAGCCAGTTCAGACAGAAGCTCTAGGGCCACAACCTGATCCCAGATGCTCTAGGGCTGAGGCAACTGCCTTCCCTCTTTCACACCCAGATGACTGACAACAAAGACATCCAATTACAGCTTTTCTTTCTTTCTTTGGGCCTCTGAGAGGGTGACTGCCTTTTATCTACTAGAAATACTACAAAGTTGTAGGCAAGCATGCTTCATTTCTGATGACAAAGAAAGTTAGAAAAACTCTATAGAACCATCATTTTATTGTTTCCTTAATCTTGTAATTTATGCAGATTATCTCTGGATTGGAATAGCTCAAATCTTAAAGTGCCATATTTTAGGGACATTATGAGAGTTTGTTAGCTCCCTTTTTTCCACACAAAGAACTGTCAGAGGGCAAATAGTTCTCGGTGCAGGGAGATCAAGGAGGTCCTTTCTGAGGAAGCTCCTTTTGCATGGAGAGAGGAAGAACATGGAACCTTCCCAGCAAAGTGTTGGGATGGGGGAAGGGCGAGCGTCTTAGGCCTCTAAGGTAAGTAAAGTGCCCAGAACAGTTGGGGAAAGGTGTTCACAGTGGCTGGAGGATGTGGAGAAACAAAAAGCAGCCTAGGATGAAGCAGAAGGGAAAGGAAGGGAGGAGAGCACACGTTTGAAAACAGCAACCCAAAGAATTAGTCATCTAACAACTTGCCAAGTGTCAGCTGGTTCATTAGTCTTTTAAGCACTGGGATTCCAAGAATTATTTGATTCAGCAGCGGATGATCATACACACCTTTATTTTAATTCACTAGGAAGCACTGGGAGGCATTTAGAGACCTGAAATGCTCCACATCTATTGGTTCTTACAACCGGGTGCACTCTACTCTGTAAGAGTTAATTTAATTTTTTCCTCACACACACCAGTTTGGATTGCTAACAGCATCCCACTGCTGTGTCAGGAGAAAATACTAAGTGAAATAAGCAGTGGGAACAAAATCAAGCAGTATGATCTTCACTGGTACAAGAAAAACGAACAAACCAAACACTTGGACTAGAAAAAAGAATGGTAAAAAATTCACCAGTGTGCTGCCCCGGCTGGTGTGGCTCAGCTGGTTGAAGCACCGACCCGTAACCAAAGAGTAGTGGGTTCGATCCCTCAGGGCACATGCCTAGGTTGTGGGTTCAGTCTCCTGTACAGACACGCACCATCCCCAGTCCAGGCCTGGGCGAGCTCTAGTCTGGTGCGAGCGGGGCGGAGGACACTGGAGTGAGGGGTCGCGCAACGGTCTGTGCTTCCCTCCCTCACTGATGTCTCTCTCTCTCTCTCTCCCTTCTGCTCTCCCTCCTCGCTCTCCAAAAAGCAATGAAAAATGTCCTTGGGAGAGGATTAAATCAATAAATGTAAATCCACCAATATGCTAATAGTGGTAGTCTGATTTTTGGAAAGGAAAGTGATATTTTGTCATTTGGGGGGGTTGTGTTGTCTTTTATAATTCTAAATTTTAAAGATTGTTTATAAAAAGAATTTCTATTGTGGAAAAAACTTAACCTACAACGCTGAAAGCAAGGACAGCTCTGTCAGAACCTGCGTCCGTGCCCGCCCCCAGCAGCTGGGTCTGCTGCTTCTGTTGGGCTGCTCTGAGGGCTCTGGACGGCAAGTCTGATAGCAGTTGTTAAATATGAGGCTGTGAAGCGGCAATGTATTTGTGTAGCTTGAAAATATTCTTTAATCCAGAGAGCTAGTTGAGTCAATGCAGAAAGTTTTAGTTAAAATGACTAGCCATGCCCGAAAACACAAGTATAATCAGGATAGAGGCTGATTCCTGATTTTCCGCCTTATCCTCCCCAGCATCATATTTTGGCTGTAAGCACATTTAAATACATATATGTATATTTTATAAAAACAAATGCATATCAACTGTTCTCTGTAGTTGGACCATAATTTTCAGAATTAGCACAGTACAACTTCAGAGATTAAAAAAGGGTAAGAAATCTAACAATATGATTCCTCTCTTCAGCCATGCCCCTTGTTCTATCCACAGGCTACAGCAATCAATCAAGAAAGCGGTCATCCATTGCGTCCGGGGCCCTGGGCTAAGAACATGTTGTAAAGCAAAATGCATACTCTTGCCTTCATAGGATCTACATTCCAGACGTGAAGACAGATATCCAACCATTTCTCCAGGAAATGAATGCTTTAAACGTGGGGTGGAGGAAGCTATGAGAGCACAGGGGTGAGAAGAAAGGGGGCTGGCTGTCTGAGCTAGGAGGGGGAGGACGGAAGCCTGAAAACCTCTGTCAAGTGCTGCTTACTCCAGGGCGCGAGGGCAGGCGGGTCACTGCGCACTGGCACCCTGGTGGTTGAAGGGGTGTGGGGCTGAATCCTCACTGCAGGGGTGCAGCTCGCAGGAGAAGAAAGGCACCCAGTGACTGAGGACTGAGGCAGGCAGACCACTGGGCATTTAAGAGCCTCATAAAGATTTGGACTCTATTCTGGTAGAAACTGGAAGCGCCTGGAAGATTTTAACAGAAGAGTGCCAAGACGAGGTGCACTGGCTGTACTGGCTGTGACATGGAGAATGGATGGGAGGGAGAGGATGTCAGAGGACAGTTATGACCAACCTGAACTCAAGAATTAGTCTTGAAAACATGTATTGCCTACAGCTTTCCTTCCATTGGCCAATGTTTCCACTTACTAAAAATACCCCTTGCCCAGTGCTTCCTAGAACCCTCTGCATGAACTACAAGGGAGGGGGTGTACAGGCACTGAAGGAGTCAGCTGGATAAAAGTGGGGTGGGGTTGGGTTTAGGGACCTAGGATGCTTCCTAATGCCTGGGAGCCCTGGGGCCTGCAAGAAGAATCAGCCAAAGCAAATAAGCAGAAAACTTCTTAAAAGAAAGTCTGGCCCAGCACTTGCTATTAAATACATTTTCCCCATGAATATGGTCATATTAATACATGACCTGAGTTCATAAATGAGGTTTCCCAAATGGTCAGTTGTATATTTTACTTGAAAAGTGCTAAGAGTAAGCACAGCGAGGTGAATGTAAATATTATCACAGGCGCCTCCCACGGCCAGCCCGCTACCACAGGGCAACTAGGCGGATGGAAGCGCGGATGTTCCTGAAAGGCAGGCCTGCAAATCCTGTTCTGTTCTAGGTGACTCCCGTGACACGACCCAGGCCGGTTCTGGCATCTGCTGTTGAACTAAAAGGTTAAAGATAACAGTGTCCTAAATTCTCTGCTTCGAGGTTCAGTTCCTCCAAAGAGAATGACACATGTTCCTAATGTTCCCACGGCACGTCCTGGTGGCAAAACCTGGGGATTTTCAGAGACTACAGCACAAGGACAAACAACAAGGGTTTTACGAAGCAGCCTTGCCTCTCTCCCCCACTCCTTTCCCCTCTTCCCTTTTCCCACTTCCCTTTTCCCACTTCCGCCGCTCCTCTCTTCCCTGACCCAATTTTCCCTCTCAAGATGAAG